TGTATGGAGGTGGCGAGCAACTACGAGCCCTGCCGACTTGGAGACGGATCTCATCCTCGTAATTTAGACTGAACGGTACGTAGGAATTCATTTATTGTATTGTTCCTTCCCCCCAAGAGCAACACAAGAACCTTGGGGACGCCAACGCAGCTCTAACTTTGCCTGAGGAAGCAGGTTCATTCGCTTGCTCCTTCTAGGGGCTAGCCGCCCTTGGAAACTGTGGCCCAAGAATCCTGTTTTGAAGCCAACCACATTTGAGAGGCCCTATGGTATGAGTGAGCGGAATGAGCTTGATAGCTGTCCAAGCTTGCCGATCTTGACTTCCCGCTCCTCAGGGCGCTTGAGTGTGCACAATCATAATCCATAAGATAGTAAAGGAATAAACATAGTATGATACACTGCGGAGTCGGTTTAGCTACAACCCGGAAAAATGTTTAGTACAACATAAAGTAAGGGGTATGTGGAAAGTCTGAAAACGGAGCAAGTCGTTGCCGCGTCAGAAGGTATTGAAGACACAAGCAAGATGTTCCTTTTGTGATTTAGTGGTAGTCTAACCGGAGCTCCCACACGTCGTGTCGAGAAGTTGGTGAGATGCCCATGAAGCGAGTCTTTCTGCAAAGGAAGTCAACTCTCTTCACTCCACTCGCCTTCTCCTGACGAGAGGCGTGATAGTCCCGGATACGGCTGTAACGACGTTGGTAAGCTTCATCGACACGAAGCTTGTCGCGGCAGTACTGGTACTCTTGCTGAGAGATATTCTTTCGCAACGCGTGGTAAATCGCATCAAGCATATCCCGAACTGTGACATAGTAGCCGTTGGAAGGGTAGATCGTAATGGACCAGGGAAGGTGATGGGTTGTGAGAACCAGGGACGAATGGACTGGCGTCACAACGGGCTCAGAAAGGAGTAAAGATGATAGAGATTGGTACCGAGACGTTAGTGTCGATAATGGGAGAGTAACATCGAAGTTCAATGCCGGTTGGTGGGAGTACCCAATCAGTTTATGGGCACGAACTGGCTGCACGGAGGGCTTCGGGGGTGGTACGTGATACGAGTGAGGAGCGGAGCTGGGCAAAGCTCCTTGGTAAGATGGTGGTATCCTGGGGCCATCTGTAGATGGAAGGGATGATGAAGTGCGCGACCGCGATGAATTGGGTGGGATGGGGTACTCAATCTTCTCTCTGGCAAACCTGACGCGTTTGGGAGCTGTTCCTGGCATGCACTTGGGGGATGAGGTCGCTGGTGACGAGACACTGAGAGAGAGTCTGAGGTAAATGTACTAGACTTCGAGTTATTGGAATGGGAGAGATTTATGGTGAGGAAATGGTCCTATACCATCGTTAAATAGAGTACGCGTCAATGACGTGACTTGGTATGGGAAAAAAATAAATATTTAGCCCCACTGCCTCTAAACGTTTACTAAATGGAGAAGTCTCCACATTTGATATGGTAAGCGCATCGCTCGATTCAGACTGTGATGGCATTCTTCGCATCGCTTCGGTGCTTCCGAGTTTCACTCAAAGGAAGAGAGACAGGATTGGTGATTCCTCGCCACGCAGGGTCTCTGAAAAATTTCTCTCCCAGCGAACCCGGTACTGACCAGTACTAGAATGTATGGTGTGTTTGTTTTTTCTTTTTCGCCTGCCGTACAGATATCGATCACAACAGCATCGACATCCCAGGAAGATCAAGCTGGGAAATTATCTCAATATGTATGAGTATAAACTGCACAGTCATCTGAAGGATTGAGACGAGGTTCAGAACTCACACCGAAAATGATGCTGGGATCCCGCCTCAGCTTCAACAGCTCTCGCTGTCATATTGGTGATCTGTGATACTACGAGGCCGAGAATCGTCGTTCAAGCTGTTGAAGAACCGTTGGGGGAAAATGGGCGCATTCTGCAGTGTACTGTGTGCACGAGGCTATCAGACCATTTTGAGCACGGTGTTGAATGACTTTCAATCGGAGGCCAAGTATGTATGCCCTGCACCCTGCGCCTCGAATAGATCCATCCCAATTCTACTGGGGATATACCATGATATTCCGAGAGGGAGCAAAAATAGGCCATGGACTCACATTGATTCTAAAAGCATTCAGTTTGTTCGAGGTATAGACCGCCGTTCCTTTACCGTAACGTAGTATAGGACTAAGGCCTGCTGCGAGCGGCCACTGTGTGTCAGACTGCGTGGGTCCATGATAGTATTCCCAGTCCATCAGCCAAGCTCGGACCCAGAAAGACCCAGAGCCGAGTTAAATGCGGTACCAAATCAGGCGTGTTTCGACGTGGAGAGCAATGTGAATGTGGATACCAGCAACAGCTATTGCGGAATGAGGCAGTGAAGATCAGACACTCAAGGACAGTGAGAGCCGTTTTTGCCATGATTTGTGCAGCGCGGGAACGGACCTAGGTCCAATTGTGAGTTACATATGCAGTGATATAGAGGGAAGCCTCCATTCTCCTCCATGGACTGACAACGATATCGCTAGGTTGAACATACCACGTCATGCCTCCCGCCGGACCCGAATGGGCAGCAGTTAAGTATGTCCAGCCAGGACCAGAAGCGTATAGCAAAAAATTAATGAGTACATGATGAGCTAATTGGGGCCTTCGAACTCCGCCATTTATGTTTCCCCGAATAGTAGAGACCGCGGAAGCTGGCGGCTAAAAGCGTCGCACTGCAGGGTCCAAAACCCTCGATTGTCGAGTTCTCGACTGAAGATCTACGTAAAGCTATGGATACCGGATGCTTTGCTGAGAGGGAGATTGAGCTGTTGACCACAAACAGCTGAACAAAACGGATTCGTTATTGCACTCATCCTACTCCTGGCTGGCCGCCCAACAGCCACCACTAACTTAGTGGCTTAATTTGATACACAATGGGTGTCAAGACGAACAGAAGATCATATAACGGATGTCACTAGAAGAAAGGTGGGTGTAAGGTTAGACAGATCGTCAGGACTAACGTTCTGGCACATTGGATGTGCGGAAGCTCGAGAGACTAGTTCGACAGTAGTACTACGAAACGGAGCTCCGACGAGTGTTCACCTTGAGCTCATGTCTAAACTGTTTGAATTACCTATGGATGATCAGACGAGTCAGAAGATGGTCCTGCTCTAAATATCAAGCATGGAGAATCTGAAAGGTTGTAGAGCGGGTTCAGTTGTGTACAGTCTATTGAACGGGGGAGACAACTGGTGTGGGACCCGTGATTTTCTCTCGAGGTCACCCACCGCCACTAGCCAATTGGGTGACCCACAAATGCGTTGGACTCACACAGGGAGCGGATAGATATGAGCCTCGTGGAGGTCGCGAGGTGATTGATGAAAGTGTTGGGAGCCCAAAGCACTAGTCAGGGGGGCTTCTGAGCGAAAGTAAAATGAGAACGATATCATTGGATTATATGAAATATGTGAGATGTCAACTGGCTTTGAAGGAGTTGCTTTCCGGGTCAAAAGGGATGCTACTTAGGCTGACAGGGTTTTGGAACGTCGCAAACCATGACAATCACCATCATAAAATAAACAAGCCAAAGCAATACAACACTGGGATAGGACTTGTATCATAAGCTCGCAGGGACTCTCGCGACAAAAGACGGATGCTCAGTAGGGAATGCCGGTCGGCCTGGTTCCAGACTTTTAAGTGGGCATGTAGTCGTATGCACCACCTTCGAGTATTAGATCTGTGCGATGGGATGATGGTGGTATTCTCCAGCTTATAGATCGAGCGTGTCGTGTAGTTAATTGAGGGGTAGTACACCCTTGACAGGTGTGTCGGAGTCGGAAGCAAGGCTCCGCGGTTCAACAAGTTGATGAATATGGACATAAAACAGGAAAGACTCTCCAGCCTGGCGTCAGCGCTTCTGAAAGTTGATTCCTGTGTACGCCACCTGCAATGAATATGGAATTTTGAGGGCCTGATGAGCCGCTAACGGCAAGAGCGATTTTAACTGAACTTTTGGCATCGTGCACCTTATTCCTTTGTCCTTGGCTGTCGCGTTGAGTGTAACCAAAACAAAAGGGCGTTGGCCGTGAAGGATCCGAAGCTGGCGGAGCGAGAACTTTTCACCGCAATGTGGGTAAAATAAAGGGCGCTGTATCAGATTTCGAATTATATGTGACAAAGAGAATGAGGTTCTGGCTCGAAGAGTATTAACGTGGCGTGCGAGAGAAATAAATTGACAGGTCGCAGGTACGTGGTATAGCGATAAGATTGAGCACCCTGAACATGAATGCAGACCCACTCAGCCTTCCGGACCGTGAAGCCTGGGAAAAACAAACGAGGTTAAAACCTCTCGACTCGGATAGAGAGGAGGGAATAGTACTCACCACTACTTACCTCGAATGGAGCCCAGTCTAATCGACCATCTCCCGTAACCGACCTGCCCTTACACTAGCGTTCAAAGTCTACTCTACTGAATGCAGCTCGATGCATTCCAATAATAGGGCTCGCCCGCCTGCTGAAGGCGGTGGGATACAAGGGCCGTTATGGAGGCACAGCACAGGTCGTATCTCACCTTATTTGAAGGTGCTCATTCATAACTCGTATTAACAACGGCCTCCAGAGCACCATCCAATCGACCAGTAAATGATAGTCCCCTTGACGATCAGCCGTTCGACAGAGGCATATCCCGAATGTTGGAATTTCGTCCAAATATGGCGTATGTCTGCATATTCACCCGATTGCCCGCCATTTTGGCCTGGCTTTGTATTCTCTCAAATCTTTGGGCACTTCGAGGCTTCCGTACTTAATCTGATATCTATTATAATCTATATCTTGGCAGTATATAAGTCTAATCGACTTTCCTATATTCCTTAGTCAAAACAAAGTTCTCTGATCACTGAGGTGGCGCAGAGTCTTCACAACATGCCAAAGCTTGAGTTTTACCTCACTCCGTGCTTATGTTCCGAAGCTTTTTCTTTCAAGATATACGATATGCATCTGGCCCTCATCTAGTGAAGGTTTGTTTGAAGCCCATTGACGTTGAGCGTACAATAACCTCCGTTATGGTGTAGTGGCTAACATTATCGCCTCTCATACTGCAATTGAGTGGAGAAGCATTCTAGCGCGATAGCCCAGGGTTCGATTCCCTGTAACGGAATGACTCGATCCCCTTCGCATTTTTAACTTTCTTTTGCGTTGACCGAGGCCCAACTTTCGTAGACAGAAACGATTCCGAATGTAAAGGTACAGCTGATATCTAAGCGGCATCTAAATATATGTACGTGGCTAGCCAGAGCGAAAGGGAAAGAGTCGAGATACGGGATATGGGATGTGGATAGCGCTGAGGACCGGTGAAGCGTATACTTGTGGGTACCGAAGAAAAAACGAAATAGTAGGGGAAAGCAAAGGTATCACGAATAAATCCACGTTAAACGTCACACAAAACCGATATAACTCTCAATAGCTATACCTCCTCTCCCCTCGACGACCATGCCTACTCGACTGACTCTTTTTTGGACGATTTTGACCTTTCACCTCTAGACGTACACAACACCCGAAGAACTTGGGCTCTGTGCACGAGGGAAAACTGCTGACTTTGGATAAAAAGCGATTTCCGGGGCTGTGGGGGGAAGTACCGTTGCTGCTGGTATATGACATTGCTTTTTCCTGCTGAATTACCCATAGCTGACCATGGATGAGATGTACATAAATAGGTGACACTCTTGAACATTTACTTGCTCTCCTCATTGTAATTGTCCCCTGTAGTAGCTGATCCTAGTAGGTTCTGTCAGCTTTAGTGCTGACCAATGTCTCCATAGCAAGGCCCCTAAATGCAAGTTGATCCCCGCTTGCAATGTGTATTTCTTGGTTGTGTGATTGCCGACGGATGTGAAGAATAACTTGACTTGCGATGATCGAATGGAGGACTCGTTCCTTGCTAAAAACCAGTCGGTGTCAAACTCAAGCTCAAACAACAAGAGATGATCTACTTACGAGGAGAGAAGAAGCACAAAATCCTAAATTGGCATACAGTAGTCAAGAACCGCCGTCAAGAAGGTTGGGTTGAGAACATACTGGTTGCGTTGTCACCAGAATTATGTTTATCAGGGAGCAAACTGAACAAGTGGGTACAGGGTGTTAGTTTTCACGTTATGGCGAGTTTACAACTCACATAGTTGGAAAGCAAAGTATGTGATCCCTGAAGGTGGCGACATCAGTAAGGATTCTAGACAATCAAGGTCATAATACTCTGCAACTGACCATCTTGATACATAACCTGTGTAACTCCTGACTTGCTACCTCTATGATCTGAGTTGGGTGTATTAGAAGAGTACATACTTGACAAAAGATAATCTCACAGGCCCCCGCGACTGGAATTATCATCAAGATGAAAGTAGCTAATGACATGTCAGTTTTGATCACCCGGAACTGACGGATAAACAACATCACCTGTATCATACACTGCCAACATTGTCCAAGACAGATACACAAGATTATTGCCGCCTGTTATCAAACAACCTTGTTGATTGGGAATCGGGAATGGCGGATTCCCGACTAAAGTCCAACTCTTTTTAGCTACCATTCGGGGCGGGAGGAGTGTGCACCCTTTGAATGGTGACTTACAGGCCATTGCTTCAACAAATTTACCAAAGTAGAAGACACACGGGGTAAAGCACCCAATGTAGAGTGCTGCTAGCACAACTGTGATGTACTTGTTCCGGCCCCAAACAGCCCAAACACGAAGGCTCATTAGAACTGAGGACAGTGAATAAGAGGGGAGAAGGTTGAAAGGTCAGACCCAGTGGCTACAACTTACTTTCCGAGAGAAGGATACCAGTGAATCCAATCCCTGTTGAAGAACCCAAATCAGTCTAAAAGCAACGAGGGACTCAATATGAGACGTACACAAAACCATCTTTGCTATGAGCAAGCATTCACCCGGATCAGTCAGTGCTTGAACTTTTAAGATTATCTTTTAGCCCCGACAAATGGTACTTGGCAATAGGCGAGAGTTCATGGCTCACGGTACATGAGAAGTCCAACACTGTCCACAAACGGAAGATAGCGTTGGAATAGATAGAGTGCTTTCACTGCTGTCCAAGGAGACTCCCATACGAGGCGTATTTCCATGTCGAGGTTAAGTAATACGTCGTAGATAACGAGGATCGCGGAAGCGCCTTGTTGAGTTGCAGATCCGATTAGTTATATCGTGAGGAACTTCTGGCGAAGCCGTCAACATACACTCGAATGACTAACATAAGACATTAGTCGAGAGATATATTAGAGACACACCCAAGGAGAGCATACCGAGAACCAACGACGCCGATATACAGCGTGAATCACTTGCTGTGATATCACTTGAAACTGCTCTGGAGACATGAGAGCTAGGAGAGGGAGGGAATGATAAGGATGACCTGTTATTGGAGTGCCCTATGCAACGGTCTTTTATTCCTGACCTGCAAAGTTTGATGGTGCTCTGATTTGACTAATGATCAATCGCTTTCGCCAGAAGGAATATTGCGAGTGCTGATACTTGCCGCGACCCCCCAAATCATCAATCGATCTTGAGAAACAGCTTCAAGGGACAGCCGAGAAGCGCCTGAGAGCGTGCCAAGGTTGTGGATGTAGCTATCAACTTGTTGATACAAAATGGTGCTTTAAACAACATACCAATCAGATCGGAGAAAGTCGAGCACGACGGCGACGTTTCATATGTCCAGGACGCTTCTAGATCGGATAGGGCTTTAAGAGACTCGCACATCCATACCCACTCAGTTCGAATTATTCAGCCAAGAAGTTGATAGATTCCCACTGAATCCAATAATTGACCAGAGCGGCATCGAAGAAGCCAAGCTGCACCGCCTCAACGGGCTGAAATCAAGCAAGATCAACATCGCAATACCCGGGAGGCAAATGCAACTTTGATCGAGTGGAGCGACTCGTGAGGTTTAGAGGGATATGAAGAATCACTAACGAATAACACGCGGTGTCAGTTTGATGGAACCTAAACATCCAAGAGTGACTAATGATTGCTTTCAGTGTTGGCGAAGCTGATAAGATTGGAGCTGTGGCTCTGGACACCGTAGTAACCAACGAACGCAAGGGAGAAGCGTCTCAGAATGAGTAACGAAAATGGTTCCAGGCTGTAATAGAGCCCATACACGTTCCGTAGTCCTGGGTTCCATTTCAATCGTACTAACATCCGTTGGTGGTTCGAGAACCTGATTCTGATTGATATATCCCTGTCGGTATATGTTTCCGCCATATGATTCGACAGAGGCATGCCCAGAATGTCGGGATGTCGTGCAAATACGGCGTATGTCCGCATTCACCTCGATTGGCGCAGCACACACCCTCAAACATCCGCCATTTCGGCCTGGTTCTGTATTCTCTCACCTCTTTGGCATTTCGAGACTCCTGTACTTGATCGGTTATCTATTATAATCTATATGTGGTCAGTATATAAGTCTGATTGACTCCGGTCATAAGGCCCATCACAATCAGCGCAATGTACAGAGGAACCTCCGTTATGGTGTAGTGGCTAACATTATCGCCTCTCATGGTTTCATCCAATTGTGACGCGATAGCCCAGGGTTCGATTCCCTGTAACGGAATCCCAATCCTCCTTGGCAATGTTTTTACAATTTTATATATTTTTTTGTTTCGCGTCGACGAAGGCTCGCCCTCTTGGCACCCAAGAGAAAGGTGCAACACGAGATATCCATTCCGAATGTAAAGGTACAGCTGATATACAGGGTCTAGATATATGTACGTAGCCAGCCAGAGAGAAAAGAAGCAGCCGAGATATGGGATATGGAATGTGGATAACGCTGAGGAGCCGATGGAAGTCGAGAGATTGAGATTATGCCTGTAGTTTGTAGGTACCCAAGAGGAAACGAGACAGTAGGGAAAGCAAAGCCAAAGTATAGGTATCACGAAAAAATCCATGCCAAACGTCAAAGGAACTGGTACAGCTCTCAATAGCCATACCTCCTCTCCCCTCGATTACTATGCCGACTCGACTGACTTTTTTGGTCGATTTCGACCGCTCCCTCTGCGCGTATACAACACCTGATGCTGCTCGAAGGAGATGAGGCGGAGGTCGAGAAGAAGCTTCTGATTTCGGATAGTAGAGATTTCTGGGGGCTGTGGGGGGAAGCACTGCTGGTACTGATTCGGGGGGATGATCGTTGGAAGCGCCTTGAGGAACGATGAAAAGTTCGCCTGGTCGGTATAAATATTGGGTCTGGTGAGTGGTGGGGTTGGGGGATGAGGTAGGGGAGATGGGGCATTCTGCTCGAGCATTGTGGGGATGAGGCGGGAGTGCTAGATCGTTGAATGGGTGTTTAGTGGGCGGAAGGGTGGGGTTTTGGGGTGAAGCTTACTGGGGAACAAAGGACTCGAAACTGCAGTGTATGCGTGGGAATTGGACCGAGCAGGTTTTGGGCGGTTGTAAGGGTCATGTAAATATGTCTGTACGTGGCAGATGAAGATAGTCAAGAGAGAATAGCGCAAAAAGAACCCGTACGAGCACAAACAATGATCAACAAGACGAGGGTAGGTCGTCAGTATAAGAAGTAGGCGAACATATAACACGTACTAGGGAAAGAGCACCCGGTAAAGGTAAACACAACACAACAAAGAAATACCGTCGCGACGGAATCCGGTACAGCTGTCTCGACAGTCGATAGGTATACATACTTTCTTTTCTCCCCCTCGACCAACTCATTTTTGAACCGTGGATGGTGAAATCGTCACAACCTCCACGCCATGTAAGTGTAGGGGAAAGCGAGCTCTTAGCATTTCAAGAGCCTATACCCGAAAACCATGTGGTGGCCATGGTAATCACAGTTCCTCGCTCGAGTATGTACTTACTGGATGTGTGTTTTGAACTGTTTCCCAGGGCTGTGGGAAAACCAGCAGGAAGAACAGCCAGACGAATTTCGAAATGTCGCGAAGCTAGTCAACGAGACTCGGGACTCGAGATGGGTAAACAAAAAAAAACAAAAACGAACAGACCCAATCATGTATATGGCGGATTTCCCGGGGTTTGAGGACAAGTTTGAATCCACTAAGATCGTAGACGGGACGGGTCACTGTTTCGTTTTTGTAGTGCTCCAGCAAATGCAACACTCTGTTTGTCGATCACCGGCACACCCCAACCTCCACCCCCCATGGCCCTGACGTCCCCTTTTCGTAGCGAGATTGGAACTTCCTTTACTCTTTCTCCAGTGACAGGTCAAGGGGCTCGGACTGTCCTCTACACCCCATTGTTTAATGATTTGATGGACCGGGAACATACGTATTACGGAGAGCTAGGAATAATCGAGGCTGGTACCAGAGCTGGAGAGAAAAATAAAAGGAGAATGAGATGTGGTGGAGTGCTCGTCCGAATCCCGATGCGTCGATGTTTTAACGGACACCTCGAATTCGTAACATTCCCGGTGTCGATTTAGAAGTCTCTTTTGTCCGCCGACTCGACTTTAGAACGTACTTATCCGTGAAGAGTTCAGGTATTTTAGACTTTTTGTGTCTATGTAGTCGTAGCTAACAGAACTTGCGCTTATAATGTATTATATTATTATCGTAGTGACGTCATGGGTGGCTTGATATTTCTATGGGCGTGGACTGTGCAACCTGATAACTCCGTTATGGTGTAGTGGCTAACATTATCGCCTCTCATTAGTAGTCTTCCACTGACCTATGACGCGATAGCCCAGGGTTCGATTCCCTGTAACGGAATCCCAATTCTTCTCGGAAATGTTTTTACAAACTTTGGTTTTTTCTTTTTCGCGTCGACCAAGGCTCGCTTTCTTTGTACTCGGGAGAAAGGACAGACAAGAGATATATGCATTCCGAAAGTGAAGGTAGAGCTGATATACAGGTTCTAAGCGGTATCTAAATATATGTGCGTAGTAGCCAGAAAGAAAGGAAGCATGAGAATATGGGATGCGGATAGCGCTGAGGAACCAATGAAAACTAGAGATTGAGTTCATGCCGTTTGTAGGTACCAAAGAGGAAACAAGGCAGTAAAGAGAAACCAGGGTAAAAGGTATCACAACAAAATTCACGTCGAACGTCGTACAGCTCTCAATAGCTATACTTCCTCTCCCCCTCGATGACCATGCCTACTCGACCGACCCTTTTTGGATGATCTCGACCGCTCCCTCCGGACGTACACAACACCCGAAAAGTTTGGGCTCTGAGCACGGCTCGTAGGAGACAAGGCGGAGGACGAGCAGAAGTTTCCGATTTTGGTTAACAGAGATTTCCGGGACTGTGGGGTAAAGTACTGTTGCTGCTACTAGGAATGGTGTGGTGAGGGGATAATCGTAATGGAAGCGCCTTGGGGAACGATAACGGGTTCGCCTGGTCAGTAGAAGATAGGGGTTGGGTGAGTGGTTGCGGATATGTTTGAACGACGGGGCTGGGGATACGAGGTGGGGGGGATGGGCATTGTGCTTGAACGTTGTGGGGGTGGGCGGGAGTGATAGATGGTTGAGTGGTTGTTAGTGAACAGAAGAGCGGGACGAGGGTGGGGGGGTCAAACTCACTGGAGACAAAGGACTGGAAACTGGAGTGTATGCGTAGGAATTGGACCGAGATGGTTTAGGCAATGAAGATGACCCTCCTACACTCGCTTCTTATGCCCAGAACTACTCTCCGACCGACGCCCACTACTACTATCTTTGAGCGCTAGCCTGTACGGAGGGCGTTATCGGCGTGAATGTCTTGGTAGGATGGAATTGGCCGGTTTTCTCTGCCCAATGACGAACACCGTCTTGTTTCTCGATGTGTCGGCAGTAGGCGTCTGGGGAAAAGTTGTATTTGGTCATCTTGGTGGTTCGTGCTCAAGGCGTTGTTTGTGAGTCGTAGCTTTGTATGTGCTCTTGAGGGTTGTGTGATGTTGTTGCCTTTTTTTTTTGTTCCTTTTGGGTCTTGACTATGGTGTGATGTGGGGTGTATCCGGGGCTGTAACGTGCAGAGAGAACAACCACAGATAGAAAACATGGTACAAGAACAAGTAACCACCGTGGACACGGAAACCGGTATACCTTCTGTTCTCCCCGACCAACTTCATTTTTGATGTGTTTGAACCTCTCCTTCTGTCTTCGACACCGGCTCTGGTCACGAACGAGAAATAAGCATCAGATCGTGGATAGAAACGGATAATTCTGACTGTGGAGGGGAGATACTGAAATCTAAATGGTCCTGCTGTTGGGCGGAAAAGGCGAGTATGAGGGGGTGAGGAACGATGGGTTCGAGGGAAGTTTTGTGAATTGCCCCATGAAAACTCGAGAAGCGGAGTGGTCTACCCACCCGATTTTTTGGCCTGGGGCTTCGCAATGGTTGGTGGTGTCCTGTCTTCACGTTTCCGTTTCATGTAACTCGTAACTCGGGAGGGGTTTGTCATGCGTTTTCCCTACAGCCGTATATTAGAAGGGCCTGGACATTCAAACGAGCAGCGGAGGGCATGAAACCCCCAGACACAGACACAGACACTCACCATCTTTTACTGATCCGTTGGACGGCGCAATTTGTTAAAAACCTTCCTCCTCCACAACGTTCAAGCTATGTAAACCGGCACAGCACGCTTGATGTAAGTGACAACGAGCGAGCTCCTAGCATTTTAGCACCTACCTCGAAGACAGAGACGAATGATTTCCGTTTCGTTCTGTAGGGGGTCAAGTTCAGCTGCCAGCAAGTCCAACTCATCATTCAGCACCCCCCAAACTCGAACTCAACGCCACCATCACACCCCCCTGTCCTGTTTTTGTAGTGAGATGCCAATAGGAACTTCATTTGACTCTTTCCTCTTTTTCCCAGCGACTTGTTCTATACACCCCATTCTTTTTCTTTCGATGAACCGGTGAAACACAGTCAAGCTGGGCACGTAGCCAGGGGGGGGGGGGGGGAAAGGGAGAATCAGAATGAGATATTGGGGGAGTTGCTCGTTTGATCGATGCATTGAAGGTCAACGTTCAGCGACCACCTCGTTCCGCAAGGTTTAGAGTTTGAGGTCTCTTTGTTCCGCCAATCCGACGCTAGCCATAGACCGTAGGTGGACGATTGTATTTTTAGACTTTTTTTGTGTTTTTAGTCGCAGGTTAACAGGGCCTTGAAGCTTGAAGCTTGATTCCGCATATCATTATGGCGGTTTGTCAAGAATCAAATCGGTGTTGGGGGCCCGAAAGGTAAAGGGGATATATTTACGTACTATCGAAACAACAGGGAACTTGGGAGTTGAGCGTTTATTTCGATTCTGAGATCAACTACTTGAACTTCGTGATGACCACCTGACGGTTGGTTTGATAGTTCTAGATGCGTGGACAGCAGTGTACAGTACCTCCGTTATGGTGTAGTGGCTAACATTATCGCCTCTCATAAGTCAAGAACACTTGAATTTCATGACGCGATAGCCCAGGGTTCGATTCCCTGTAACGGAATCCCAGTTCTCCTCAAAAGTGTTTTTACAACCGTTGCTTTTTTTTTTGGTTCGCGTCGACCAAGACTCGCTTTCTTTGTACGCAAGAGACGGGAACAACACGAGATATCCATTCCGAATGTGAATGTACAGCTGATATACAGGGTCTAAGGGGCATCTAAATATATGTACGTAGCCAGCCAGAGAGAAACGAAAGAGTCGAGATACGGGAGATGGAATGTGGATAGCGCTGAAGACTAGAGATTGAGATTATGCCTGTAGTTTGTAGGTACCAAAAAGAAAACGAGATAGTAAAGAGAAACCAGGGTAAAAGGTATCACAAAAAAAAATCCACGTCGAACGTCGTATAGCTCTCAATAGCTATATCTCCTCTCCCCTCCATGACCATGCCTGCTCGACCGACTCTTTTTGGATGACTTGGACCTCTCCCTCTGCACGTACACCACACCCGATGAGTTTGGGCTCTGAGCACGGCTCGAAGGAGACGAGAAGAAACTTCCGATTTTAGATAAAAGCGATTTCCGGGGTTGTGGGGTGAAATATTGCTGCTGCTGGTAATGATGGGGTGGAGCAGGAGGGATAATCGTGATGGAAGCGCCTTGGGGAACGATGACGGGTTCGCCTGGTCGGTAGAAGATGGGGTGAGTGGTTGCGGAGGTATTTGAACGGCGGGGTTGGGGACGAGGTGGAGGGATGGGCATTGTGCTCGAACGTTGTGGGTGTGGACGGGAGTGCTAGATTAAGGTGTTAGTGAACGTCATGGGGGGAAGGAGTCGAACTCACCGGAGACAAAGGACTTGACACTGGAGTGTATGCGTAGGAATTGGACCGGGAAGGGTTGGGTGGTGTAGATGATCCTCCTACGCTCCTCGACCGGTGCTTTTTATGCCCAGAACTACTCCCCGAACGATGCCTGCTACTGTCTTTGAGCGCCATAGCCTGCACGGAAGGCGTCGTCGGCGTGAATGGATTGGCAGGGTGGAACTGGCCCGTTCTCTCCGCCCAACGACGAACGCCGTCTTGTTTCTCCATGTGCCGACGGTAGGCATCTGGGGAAAAGTCGTATTCTGTCATCTTGGTGGTCGGTGGTCAAGGGCGTGTTGGCGAGTCGTAGCTTTTTATGTGCTTTTGAGGGTTGTGTGGCGCTGTTGCCTCTTTTGTGTTCCTTTTGGGTCGTGACTCGTGTTGTAGTACTGATGACTTTTGACGTTGACTATGGTGTGATGTATGATGTATCCGTGGGTATAAAGTGCAGAGAAAAGAACAACAGATAGAAAACCAAGAACAAGAGCTGGGGGACGAAGGCGAGAAACGTCGTCAACGGTCGGACATGGTGGTCATGGAGAGAAGAACGTCAACGCGGGGCAGGGCCAAGGTCAGAATATCAGTGGAGCTCCGGTCCGCGGGCCCCGAAACCGATGACGAGATGTGCATGTGACCGTTGTGGTGTCAAACCGTAAACGTTCCTTCCATGTTCCCTCTTGACCGCCATGATCCCAGAATGGAATAGCTCATGTTGCCCGCCTGTCAAGTATTTCTGGCAATCACCGATGATGATACGGAGTAAGGAGTATGGAAGCGTAGAAGCGTAGGTGAACATGAGAGCATCAAGCAGGTAAGTGGTATTCTACCCAACCTATATCATCCTCCTAACACCGCGCAGAAACCATGTAACGAAATTCCGAACGGCCTACCGCAACCCAAGTTTTACCATTAGAAGACACTTACCCCGCCCGCTCTATCGTTACCAGGCCATAAATATCTCATCCAGTCCCGCTCTTAGGCGCTACAACCTCCATGGTCGTCGGCTTCGTGGTACGTATCTATGACAATCCCGACTGATTATCCACCTCATCCCCTCAGGTACGTTTCTCTAGAATGATGCCACTTCGCCAACTGTCATGATGGGAATGGAGAAGTTAAGGAATAGGAACAAGAAGATTGCGTTGGTTGGTACGGGTACCATCGTGAGAGGATCGAGCTGCCCCAGTCTGTAGTTATCATCTTCCCGACACCACAGTTTTCATAACAATCAGAAATGATTCGGAAAGATGTAGGCGCTTTTGCATCCGGAAGCTACACTGTTGCCTCAAGGGCGTAAACATCTCATTCAGTACCACTCTGAGGAGCTACTTACAACGTCCAGAATCGTCACCACCGCGACCAGTCAAGGTAATGTCTGCCCTTTCATTCCGGAGACGATCCCGACTGATAGCTGTTTGGCTTGCTCTCGAGACAGCTCGCGAATGCGCTGTTCAGTTCAACCCATCATGATGATTTTCTGAACCCCAGTATGCACGCTAACTCGGCAGTTAGCATCTCTATAACTACAGTCACCTTCCCCGACTCTGCATACGCCACATACCTATGAATGACGAGTGAGGTCAGTACCATATACAAGAATATAACACCTAAGCTTTAGGGTCGAGCACAACGAAGTATCCGAGGAAGGTCAGACTCACCGAGAGGGTATACCACACAACAATTACGCCGGTAGTTTGAGTTTTGGGGAAAGGCTTGGCGACTATCCAGTTGATTTCGGGTCGTGCCAGGTCCGAGCCCCATCCGGGCGGGCGAAATGGAGTTCAGTGACGTGAGAAGGTAATTCTATGCAGTATACGCTCAGTATGCATCGAAAATGTGCCCATGATCCGCTCGGTACTAGAAATTGACCTCAAGATTTAACTCTGCCGCATAGGGCCCTAGAATGTCGTGCTAATGAACTAGGAAGCAGCGTTAAGCTTGAGATTGGAAAGCCAGCATATCAGACACGCATCATAGAGCAACTAGCCATAGTCACAGAGACGAGAAGATAGGATCGTTCAGTCCAAAGATCGTGACTACACTGTACCTTGCTGTCGTCAAAGAGTTGCAAGCACGGTATTCACTAGCATAGCTCAGCATTTGCTGACCGAGGAGTGAACAGCAGACGATAGAGTATTCGAAGAGGCCTCGTCTTGAGGTTGGTACTCGCGAGAAAAGCCGTGTGGCGTACGTAACCTCTCCAAGACAGTAGGGAAAGACAAGCCAAGGTAAAGGTATCACAAAAACTTTGGGTAAGTAGTTGCGGAGGTGTTTGAACGACGGGTTTGTGGACGAGGTGGAGGGATGGGCATTGTGCTCGAGCGCTGTGGGTGTGGACGGGAGTGCTAGATTAAGGTGTTAGTGAATGTCATGGGGGGTGTAAAACTCACCGGAGACAAAGGACTTGAAACTGGAGTGTATGCGTACGGATTGGACCGAGAAGGTTTGGGCGGTGTGGATGATTTTCCTACGCTCTGCCCAGAACCACTCCCCGACCGATGCTTACTACTGTCTTTGAGCGCCATAGCTCGCACGGAGGGCGTTGTTGACGTGGATGGATTGGGTGGCCGGTTTTCTCTGCCCAACGACGAACACCGTCTTGCTTCTCCATGTGTCAGCAGTAGGCGTCTGGGGAAAAGTCGTATTCGGTCATCTTGGTGATTCGTGGTCAAGGGTATGTTGGGCCAGGTCTTTTTAGCTACACTACTAGCTACGCATGTCAAATTAAGTTAATTGCCGCTAAAGTGCAGGTAAACCGCCGTTAAAACCTAGGGACGAAGAGCCGCCTGTGGTTCGAATCCCGCTAGTACCAGATAACAGAGAAAAGCTCAGTGGAGCCGTTGGTGGCGCTAGGTTGCGAAAGCGATTGTTTGTTGGTAGCGCCATGTTGAATTAAACCCCCCTGACTGGTCATTTGCAGACTAGAGAGGTTGCGACTAATATCCCATGTGGTGGAATCCGAGAATGGGTTTGTTCTAATGGCGAATAGATGGGCGCTACCGGGTGTTAGTGTGTTGATATTGCTGCATGCCATCTTTGAACTCAGACCCGCGCTTTCTTCCAAATACAGAGCTTGCGGTTCAAACGGCTCTATGGACCCAAGTGTTTCATCGGAAATTATAAGCGGGATGTGGTTAGAAGGAGTTTGGGCCATATGGACGGTAGTGTGCCAGGATGCATGGCGCGGAGCTAGGTGGATAGTGACCTGTTGATACTAGAATTATAGGCGGGGCAGCAGTTGGTTTGTGCGAGAGGGACAGTGCAGATTGAGAGGACATTAACGACCGCCGTGTACAGACATAAGCTATATATGTGGCTGAAATTCTCCTTGAGAGTAAAATCTAAGTAGATCTTGTCGGTACGGGGCAAAATACTGTCGGCACTGTGGTCACTATTAGTTGTTTCAAGATCAGCAATAGCCAGTGTGGTGCTAACTCAAGGCATATTGCCGTCAGCACTGGTTAAGTTACACCAAATGGCTGTTAGTTGAAGAGAGTGTATTGCTCGTGTAGGTAGTTTGCCAGTAGTCGTAGGAAGTTGGCTGCTAGTTGTAGTTAGTTGGTCACCAAATGTAAATATTTGCCGCTAGTTGTAGGGAGTTAGCGTCTTGTTGGTGCTAGCTCGCCACTCGTTGTAGGCAGTTTGCCGCAGGCTGTAGGTAGTTGATTATGAGTTATAGGTAATGTTTATCCATGGTCTGTAGCTCGCCGTAAGTTGTGGGCGGCTATGAGATTGTATCACCGCCAGAGGCTGATTGATGCCAACCAGGCGCCAACATCCTGTTTAAATGGGTGAATGACGATGCACACAACACCACTATCATCCCGCAATTGGTAGGTACCTCACTATGACATTGATAGACAGCCGTTCGCATTTGTGCTACAATACTGAACTACACTACGTCGTCATTTTGGCTTTGCCAACCCTAACAGGCCTCGGGTACTTTCTATCCCAAGCAACCTTCATCTGCTCAAGTTCCCTTCTCCTCTGTTCCTCCTTCACCTTCCAATTTAGTGTATACACATTGTTGAGGTATTCCGAGCCTGGCTGTTTCATAGTCAGTACAATTGCGAGTATTGGCTACACTGAAGAATCACCGATACTAACCTCGTATTCAGTCTCATCATTTCGGGATGAAGAGCCAAGATACTGAAAGAACTGGTAGGGGTTCCAGTTCTCCTGATGTGTATTGTGTTT